TTCCAATCCAGGAATAATAGCTGGGAGAGCGTTTAGGGTTTAGGGTTTACGGTTTAGGGTTCAGGGTTTCGGGTCAGTGTTTAGGGTTTAGGGTTTAGGGTCTGCGTTTGGGGTTTAGGAGTTTAGGGCCTGCGTTTAGGGGTTAGGGTTTAGGGTTCAGGGTTCAGGGTTTAGGGTTTAGGGTTCAGGGTTCAGGGTTTAGGATTTATGGTTTAGGGTTAAGGTAGTGTCGGGCTTCGATACTACGCGCTTTCGCGGCAGGTTGCTCATGTGGGGGTTTCCGAAAATAAGGGGTACCTTATTTTGGGGGTCCTTGTAACAAGGATCCTACTATTTAGGGTGCTATACTAGGGTCCCCTATGTTCGGAACCATGTATCATCTTCCCATCATTCCTTCACTGCCGGCTGAACGGACGGAGCTTCTCGGCTCTGCATTGCAGGGTGCATCTTGGTCATGGACTCGTATAAGAACACATACCCAAAACCCTAAACCCTAAACCCTAAACCATAGACACCTGGACGCTCGAAGCGAAGCCCCTAAACCAAACGCCGACTTCCCTGAAGTTCGGCCCTCTATGTGTAACCTGTGCTGCTGTTCTGCTTGTTGCGACGGTCTCCCTTATGATTCCGGTTTAGGGTTTAGGGTTTAGGGTTTAGCAATGATGATACAAAAACATCACAAAAGAAAACTGACTAAACTATCCCCACACGGACCGCGAAAGTATCCATTCACACTCTTACCGTCATGGTAAACGAGCATCCTGGGCACTGCTGTGAAAGGAGCCAATGGTTTAGGGTTTAGGGTTTAGGATTTAGGGTTTAGGGTTTAGGGTTTAGGAATGTGCCTTTTGCAACAATACTTATCGAAGTTAGGGTTTATAGGGTCTATAAGGTTTGTAGAGCTTGGGGTTTAGGGTTGGGGGCTTAGGCTTTAGGGCTTGGGGCTTAGGGCCTAGGGTTTATAGGGCTTAGGCTTTAGGGNNGCTTAGGCTTTAGGGTTTGGGGTTTGCCTGACCTGTCGGTTAATGGCAGTTGAAAGTGATGATAAGTGATTTCTATCGTCATCTATACTTTATGCTTGGGCGACCATTGGTGCTTCTGTCGTGGTTTCGACAACCATAATCAGCACTCTAACCCTGACTATCTCTACTCTTATCATGCTGCTACAACCATGAGGGTATTGTGGGTCCTATGGCCACTTATAGGGCCGTAAGGGTTTGAAAAGACTTTCATGGGGGTTTCATGAGGGGCAATGGGTTTCACCGTGTTTTATGAAGGAGCTTTGTCAGACATGGTGCGATGATGAGTAGACGGTTTAGGG